TTTTTTATACTAAATCAGTACAAAAAGTGACATGCTTGTCTGCTCGGGTAGTTGAATAGTTTAATAGTCGAATTTACGACTATTCAACTATTGAATAGATGAATAGTTGAATGGTCGAATTTACGACTATTCAACTATTCATCTATTCAATAGTTGAATTTACGACTATTCAACTATTGAATAGATGAATAGTTGTAACGACTATTCGGATTTTACATGTATGCATAAGCCATACATCATCATAAAATTCTAATGGATTTTTATATTCTCCACGTAATAATTTATTATGTGTGGCTGATATGTCCATTGGATGTTTAATTATTATTGGATAATCAGGTATAATAAGTGCAACAGGATCTACTGGTTGTTGAAATTGATATGAATCTTCCGAGGTAATCATTTTATGAATAATTGGTTCAAGATGTTTACGTAAATCTTCAGATGTAAATTGTACATTATATTTGGGTAATTGTTTACTTGATGCATCAATATGTACTATTATTGGTTCTATATTATCGTTTTTTGACAATTGTGAATGAGATTCAGTCATTATCATCATTATCACTGTTGTTTCGTTTTTAATCGTCAAAAATCCAGAAATATAAAGTAAAAGATATTAATAGTATATTATTAGAATTTAATTCTATAAGAAAATGATGATGATGGATGGTTAGTTTCGTTACTTTAATGAATAGTGTTGTTGCTATTCTTGTCCATCGCTTCGTATAGAGCACAAGCTTATATATATATGCGAAAGAGAGAAAGATCACAAGATAGACAAGAAGAATGAATAAGCAGCTTTTATCGGTTATGAGTTCAAAGCATCTAGTTGCATATTGTCCGAATGCTTTCATATCATTCACTTAATAGCAATGAATTCATTATAAATGTTTTTTCATTTCAAAATAATAAATAACCAATGTAATGTAGTCCAAAATGACTTACAATTCATTAGTACTAGTCGTCTTAACGAGAAATGCCGTATAACTAAACATAGAGTATAGCTCATTTTGTCTATTTATATTATACGAATTTGTCAGTAAATCAAAAACAAAGCAGAAAGATAAACGAATATCGAACGTACAATCCGACAATATTCGATGAGTGATTAGTCTGAAGTGCTTTCAAATATTGTTATAAAGTTCAATTATAACATTTTGTTCATATATCAATAAGTAATGACAAAAAATAATATTTTTCATAATTAAATTAGACAAATAACATTCAGTGAAAGAAGCATTTATTTTTTAAATCCAAAATGATCGGATAGTAAATTTTGCGATCATGCTATCATAAAAAAAATTGATAGCCAAAATGTAAAAGTTCTAGCCTATTTTTATTCATACACTGTTGTTGTATACTGTTTATTACTATATCTTTGTATTGAAAATATCAATCAGCCTGGTCGAGTCTAAAGTCCAGCTCAGGATACTTGAGTTATGTATATACCGAAATCTTTTCTATCTCACAAATGTCCTGTACTTCGGATGCTGGTATTTAAGGAGTTAATATCTGAAGACTATGTAGAAACAAAACTCGCTGATTTTTCAACATTTTTCTATAGTTTTTGTCTGATTGAGTCAAAAGCCACTATAGCTGATTTGTGTTTAGTTTAGTCAATTTATGTCGATTATTTCTATGTATAAACATTTTTTGAAACAAAGAATTAAAAACAATAATTCAATGTAGAAGAAAAAAAAATATTCGCTATCGATTTCCATGAATCACACATTCGACTCGTTGCAAAAGTTTAGAGAGTGTCATGCATAGTATATTTAATATTAATTCATTTAACTATGCATGCTTTTTCATTGTGTTGGCATACAATTACGAGGAAAGATCACAATATTCAACATTGAACCTTTTTTATATTGATGACACCAGATATGATAAAGAATAAACAAATTTATAATCAAATATGCACCAGTTAACTGTTGATATTCTTGCTTGGATGTGGATGTGAGTGTGAGTATAGGTATGGATCTTCTCTTTACACCCACACCCATCATATCAATATATGATGTTGTTAAAAACTGAGGACGTCACAAGAAAAGATATATGCAAAAAAAAAATTTGTCAATGTACTTTTATGTAATTATGATATCAAAATTTTTTTGAGGTATCTGGAGAAAATAAAGTATTAATTAATTTTTCTTTTAAAAAGTCTCCTTATTTTTTATTTCATTTTCTTCATGTTTCAAGTAATAAAATTTTTTGTTGTATTTATCTTTATTGCATAAGTATAGAAGTTTTATTTCCATTCATTCTTTGCCATAGGTGGCGCAGGATTTTTTGGATACGCTGAATCTCAGTTTCAGAGCATGGGACCCAGATGAAACTCATGGAGGGTGATATTGAGCCTAAATGATGAGTTTTATTCAAAAAAATTTTGCGATCGAAGTTTGCGAAAAAATTTTTAAAAATCTTATTGCTACCCCTAAAAAGATTTTTGCTTTTTTGTAGTATTCCATTTTTTAAAATTCAGTCGCAATCTACATTGATTTTCATCGACAAATTTCAAATTTCACCTAAAAATATGCATCCGTTTAGGAGTTATAACATTTTGAATTTTTGTGAAAATTGTTGAGCCATCTCTAAAAGATTCAAAATGTTATAACTCCTGAACGGATGCATATTTTTAGGTGAAATTTGAAATCTGTCGATGAAATTCGATGTAGATTACGACTGAATTTTAAAAAATCGAATACTACAAAAAAGCAAAAAACTTTTTAGGGGTAGCAATAAGATTTTTAAAAATTTTTTCGCAAACTTCGATCGCAAAAAGTTTTTGAATAAAACTCATCATTTAGGCTCAATATCATCCTCCATAAATTTCATCTGGATCCCATGCTCTGAAACTGAGATTCAGCGTATCCAAAAACTCTGCGCCGCCTATGTTCTTTGCTATAATAACACTAAAGACAAATCAAAAAGTCTATTTAAAAAAGTACTTGTATAATTCAGATAAAATAAAAGCAATATATTCATAGAATTCATTCGTTTGTCTAGGTAAGAGATGATGACATTTATAATAAAAGATTAAAGATAATTATCTGCCACGTGCGTTTTTCGAAACATTTTATAAGTAATATAAAAATGAGACATACAGTTTTGTCAATAGTTTAATACTTTCAATAAGAAATGTGTAAATAACAAATCAATTATGATAGAATTACTCATTTCATATAATGAATCTATTATATCTAAACTTAAATTGGTTAAATTTTATTGATAGAGATCCCGTTGAAATGTTAGAATCTGATTCAATTCCAATACATAGAGATGACTATTTTTGACTTTTTTGAGAATAAAATTAATGCATTTATCTCATAACAGTATCGTAACATAGAAAAACAAAAAAAGCGCATTTGAATCTGCTTTTAGCATAGACGAATATGGACATGTTTGATTTTTTCGAACACGTTCCACGTCTCAAAATATTACATTTTGGACGCATTCAAATGTATCAAGTTACAATGTTTATAGACGGTCAGGGACATGTTAAGAACTTAAGTATGAATACATGAGTAGTAAAAAAGAATATTATCGAGTTATTTTTATTTCAATAAAAATCTAATACTCAGGTGTTTATTATAAATTTAGATTATTTTGTATGATTCTCAATTATTACATAAAGCAATAACAAAAACAAGACCATCATCATCGATTGAGAACTCCAAGAGATATTTGTCAAAACTATTCTTCTTGAGTTATGTATGATAAAGAACTATTCATAGATGTATACTTCGACTTCTTATTCTTATTCAATTAAGTTGACAGAAAGCTCATATGTTTATCCAAATATATCACGACGAAGTCTTTTCTTGAATCTCAATAACATTCCAACGACTATACAGCACGTTGGACTCATGGACAAATTTTCCTACAGACGTAACTTCCTTTTTTTAGATATTTATCTGTACTAACTGAACTAACTACATAACTATATATTCAACTGCTTTGAAAAAAGCGATGCATTGACAGAAACATCCTGTGGGATGAATGTTTTTGACCCTGTGTTAGATAGTGTTCACTCGAAGAGAGATAGTTTCTTTTAATTCTTAAGCGTGATCAGAGGTATAATATGAAACTATGAATTTTCTCTAAATACGCTCAAGAAACACGATGATCAGTGCATCTAGCTGCGTCTAAAACGCGTTTGATAGTTACATGGATACGTATCAGTTATCGATATGATATGAATAGCTTAGATAGTAAAACAAATCATAGAAGAAAATAAATCAGAAAAGGTGTGAAAATAGAGAAAAATTAATTAGACATATACACGCAGGAAAAATCTGAATATTCCTCGACGCTAATCGAGATTTCTAATTGTGGATCAGAAATACTAACGAAAACAATACGTGAAAGCGATCAAAACATTGTCATACATAGATTGTCAAAAGTTTTAGGTTGTATAAGAGATGATCGTTGTTCATGTCAGCTTTTTGTGAATGTCTTTGGATGACAATCGGGTAAACACAATTGGCATCGGAAAGAAATGGTCAAAACGTTTTTAGCATTTTTTCATTTTTTTTTGTTCGCATGGGCAGTCAGGCAATCGTCCACAAAGAATTCAAATATTTTCTCCCCCCTAAATCTAGGATAGAATTATATCAGGATGATAGCGAATTCATTTTCAAATTAACACAGAAAATTCATCTCGTATTTATTTCTAGATTTCTTTCATCAAGTGTATCTGATATTCTACAAGTTACATAACAATACATCAACATTACATCAAACTATCACTGGAGCTATGAGATCGAGGTCGAAGCGTGTTTTTGTGGCCATTCTAATATTTGCACTTCTCTCATTCATTACATTTTCAATGTTCCAAAGTATTCTTGCATTTTCCTTCCTTCGAACCATTCACTTGAATCGCCTAATTTCTACCAGAATTCAGCAATGGAAACCGACTTTGAACTGCACCCAAGACGAGAAACAATGGCAAGAAGATATATTTCTACAAGAGCTTCGCAAATTGCGTAGTTGGTCTGCCTGCTATTCCGATCAGTATCTCTTGCAACTGTATGAAGCCGATCTTGATATGTCGAGTGACGATGGTAGAATCTTATTGTTCGATGTGGGCGCCAACAAAGGATACGTTATCGCGACTTGGCTATCATTATGGATGCCCGAGCTCGGGATTGATCCTAAGAGGCTACATCATTTCCTTCGTACGAGACTAAAACTGAATGATTGTGGAGCATGTAGGGATTGTAAAGAGACCGGATTCAGCAACGCCAATGTCACAAAACGTGTCAAGAAGATCGTCGAAATCTATGCCTTTGAACCACAGCAGAGCACTTATCGAGCCTTGTGTCAAGTACAACGATGGACCAACCTATCCTCTTTTCATGTGTATGATCTGGGATTCAGTAACTACACAGGGGTTGCTCTGCTAAATGCGTGTGGTACAGGAACTGAATCATGTGGACTGGCTACGAATCCCAATATTGCAAACAGAACCCGCTATGTCGAAGTGAACATCACTACGCTGGATCATTTTACTCAGCTGTATCAAATTCATCGTCGTATCGATGTGTTGAAAATTGATACCGAAGGATTCGATCCATTAGTGCTTCAAGGCGCTGATCGACTCTTGAATGAGCATCAAGTGCGACTATTAATTTTCGAATATCATCGTGTTGGTATGTGGTCAACGACAACCCTTGAGAAAGTGGTGCAAAACCTGGACCGAAAAGGCTATACATGTTACCAACTTGGTCGAACTGGAATCTTACGCTTGAGTGGTTGTTGGTCTCCAAAATTCGAAAGGAAAACGTGGAGCAATATTCTCTGTGTATCGCGAAATGAGCAAATACTGATCCAATCTATCGAGAAGCTTCTATTACGAAAAGCTTGAAGAAAAGACAATCAGAGCTCATATCGATATTTTCGGAAGAAGACTTACGGTTCTTTTGGCTCTATGTCGCCAGAAAGAAAGTTGATTTGTTATTATTCTACTTCTACTCATGTATTTGAGTTTATGAACAACAATTTGAAGTAGAATATAATTGCGCTAACAACAACACGAACAAGAATATTCTTTGTTTTTAGAACGTTTCGAAAAATTGATTATCATTATCAAGAACACTTGAGAATCATGATTAGCAAAACCGATATCGTTGTCAAATTTATTTTTGGCAATATCTTCCTAATAATGAGCAGTTCACTAACTAATAAACGATATGAGCGTGAGTTCATCCCAAGAAGAGACCCATGATTTCAATTAGAACTATGTCTAACTTCTTTATATAACGAGAGAGATCACTAGTTTTACTGCAGATGCATCATGCTTATTTAAAGTAATCTTCATATTGATTCGTGCATATCCACTACCATATGCATGAAGCGCATTATAAGCATCACATGCAACTCTTTTTATTTTCTTTCCTAAAGGATCTGATTCATCAATCAACTTAAATTTAATTGCTCTGTTGGCCATCGATATGGATTTACTGGCAACATGTGAAAGTTGTTCTTCGGGCTTTACAGAGTCTAAGAAGTCATATACGATAGGAGTCATTGCAAAAACCCCATTAGTACTTTCATATACCATAGCAGAATATTCACGACCAAAAATATATTCCTCGATAAAGATTTGGGTGATCCACACCCACACCCAATGTAGGGACGATATCTTTAGTAGATTGAAATTAAGTATTAGTCGACTGTCTTCGTGAGGTTTGATTAAGAAAACTCATGAGACAAAAGAACAGAATTTATCAGTTTTCATGCAAAATAATATTCACCTTTTGCTTTGATTGAATTTGTTTTTCATCTATCGAAATCAAAATTGTAAGTATGTTTGCTCCTGTTGCACCTGGCAACTGCTCGTAAAACAAAAAAACAACAACTGTTATTTCAATCATAATTCAAATTGGTTGGAAAAAATGTGTCTCCTTTCTTCATATTTGTTGAAGGACATTAATTCATGTGTATTAGTTTTGTGATTCATGAATAAAAATTCCCAGTGATGAATCACACAGTCGCTCCAACTATAAAAGGGCGTGTTTTAGCAGTATTTTTTGAAACACATGGCAACAAAAGGTGATAATATGAACCGAGAAAAAAGTAAGTTTTAAAATCATTGTTTTTTTTTATTATTTTCACTATGACCATACATAGACGAGAAAAATATAATATACGAAGTAGGCACTTGCGATATAGATGTCTATAATAATTTACTGGAACTTCAAAATGAATTACCAGATTTGTTAGAACAGATGAAAGATCATCTGTCAAAAAGACCTTTCGTACATATAAAAGGAAAATATTTTACGATGCAACAATATTACGCGTGGGAGTATCGATTGAAATTAAAAAATCGGGTGTACTTACAAGTGCATCCAGATAAAAGACGCGTCTATATCTACGGTGCAGGTGCTCATCCAAAGGAGAAGGCACCGAAACCACCAAAGGCTGAAAATATTGTATGGTCAAAATTTATGATAATTTAAATTGACCAGGTACTCCCAAATCACCTAATTTGAATGGAGTCTCAACTTAAACTTCAGAATATTTCAATTAATTGATTGCATATATTTCTATTAATTGCTCAACTTTCAAATTGCTGAATATTTCAATTGATCTATTGTTTATATTATGATGTATTTGTTGAAAATTCAATTCATTTTATGCCAAATGAGTTATTCAATTCTTTCCATCTGTCTTAAAAAGACAGACTCCCGACTAGTTAATAGAAAGGAAGGAATTGACAAATTACTATCAATTTATGTGTTTTCCGGGGGTGTATCCATGCCAATTTGAGCAGTGTGAAAATTAATACCTGCCATTTTGACATAGATATTTCTTACAAACACATATAACGACGATTTAGTTTTATACATCTATCATTCTTCGATAAAATGATTTCACGTTGAAATAATAGGTGAAAATGATTTATATCATCAACGATTTCATATTATTCGAATTCTTTAATCTACTGGGTGTGGCATAATGATTGCAACATACAGTATTTTGAGAATATCTCACTCATAAACAATCAATATAACCTTGATTTTTTTTAAAGATGCGCCATGAAAAGCTCTACAAAAACTGTAAGAACAAATCCCTCTTCACTTTCGCTGTTGATGTCTTTGATGCCTAAAACTAACAGGTCACATGACGAGTGTGAGTGTGGGTGTTCTTCTTCTTTAAACCCACAGCTACACTCACACCCACACCCAATATTCGTCAAACAGCAGTTGTTATCGATATGAATATAGTACGTAATGAGAATCTTCATATGGAAAGAAATGATAAAAATTCGATATTATTTTTGATTTGTTTCTTGACGATGAATTACAGGCGAACAGACCGCTACTGTAACATTTCGATTCAAGACACGATGTGAATACGTACTTGAAAATGCGCGTCTAATATTTCGATCTGGTCAACAGACTAAGGGAAGCGGTCGAGTGATCAAAGTATTGTCTCAAAATGAAAAGAATGCAAGGACCTAAATGATTTTGCATATGTTTTTTTTTCTTATTTATTGCACAAGACTCACGCACATTCTAGAAATATATACATAAATTCCTGACATTGTGATTATTGTTTTTGTTGTATTTTTACTGATTGGGAATCAGAACTCATCTCTCTATTCTTAAAAACGTTCTTGTAATACATTTTTCAGAAAACCTTTGACATTAAACTGGAGGTGCATTTTATCTCTCGATGTCGAAAAAGTTTCGCGGTACGGTATTTTGCGAGACGGTACAGTACTATTTTAAAGTTAAGAATATAGTAAAATTTTTGATTAGATCGACGGTATTCGTTTCAACTTTATTATAATGAATAAATATATTTGAAGTATGCATGAATCAACGTTTTTTTCATTGTTAAACAAATTAACTATTGGTGGAAGTTTTTAGAAAACCATAACAACCCATTGAATAAAGCATAAAAGCGAAAAATATTAAGAATTTCAATGAACAAGTTTCAATGTATGAAGTCCTAAAGGTGAGAAATATTTTCTTATAATATAATTAAAAAAAAGGATCACTTAACAAGAGCTTCAGAAGGCGCAGCTGGATTATTTCTTGCACGAATATGATCAACATCATGTAGTTCATTCAAGATCTTTAGTAATTAAATAATATTTTTCTACTAAAATTATAAAAAAAACATTGTCATGTCCATTAGCCATGATACATTCTCTTTCTCTCATACTTGTTTATTTTCATTCACACTCCTCTCACATTTCTTTCTTCTTCTCATGCATCTTTCATCCTCTACACATTTCTTCCAACTCCATCATATCTCTTGTACATTTTGTTTGTTTTCTTCCACCATCATCACATTTCTTTTCCTACCTATTGTCTCCGCCTCTTTGAATTGAGAGAGTATATATAGTTACCGTCTGTTTTGCTTGAGTGTGTCTTTTGTTCATTTTGTTTTGTTGTCATCTGGCTGATATTATACATGATCATGATAAACATAAACTTACCTGATATTCTACCTGATATACTGAAAAACAGTGACAAAGGAGAATATGAGATACAAAATAAAGAGATCTATTTACCAATGTTTACATCATCAGAAAGTACCAAATTTAGATGATTCAATAGAGAATTTTTTTCACCTGAAGCTTTATAATGAGAATAATCCGACGTGTCAAATTGATGATGCATTGTAATCACCGTTCTACCGAACGAAAAATTTTTTCTCTCAAAGCGATACAAGTTCTCTAAGTAGCACATATCACCTTTCAAATTTTATTTTTCAATAAAAAGGACATGAACCAAAAAAGTAAATAATTTTATTCGTAATCATTTATCCCATGTCACGTTTGCGGTTAAATAAAGTGATGCGTCTTTTAAATATTGTGAACCATCTGCAGAAACATCCTTTTCTCTAAATTTCAACATTGCGAGTGTCTGAATTAGATAATAGAAAGGGAATGATTAAGAAATTTATCAGACTTTATTGATAAGTAATGCATTCACTAAACATTTAGCTCCTTCTAAACCAATGTCGTTGCCTCCAAATGATAATGTCTTCAGTGTCTATAGTAAAAATATGAACAAATACATAACGAAAGAATATAGAATTTATTTTACTTTGTTATTCAATAATGCATTAGCTATATATCGAGTTCCTTCTGCTTGGATTCTGTTCGATCCAAGATCTAATGTAGTTAAGCCCTGTATTGAATAATATGGGTATTTAGTCGATAGATGAATGTAGAATCTGCCTCACTTTGTTATGCATTAGGGCATTAGCTATATGCCTAGCTCCTTCGGCACCGATTGCATTAAACGCAAGTGCCAGTATCATAAGTGTCTATATTAAAATATAACGACTAATAATAGATAAAACAATAAACAATTTATCTGACACTATTAGTTTCTAGTCCTTTAGCTAAATATTGTGCCCCATTGGGACCAATACCATTGAGAATAAGAGAAATTGTCGTGAGTGTCTAAGTTGAGAGATTAGAAAAGTGTGAAATAAATATTTATAGAATTATTTCTACTGTGTTATGTATTAATGCATTAGCTAGGTATGGCATTGGATCAGGACCAATTCTACCAATATTAAGACTGGGAGTAGTGAGTGTCTATATCGCAGAATCAAATTAATATTAGATAGAGAAGTAGAAGTCTTGTTTTACAGTATTATATTGTAATGCACTGAATAGATATTGCACAACGTCGCCTTCAGTATTAGGGCGATCAAGATTGAGTATCGTCAGGGCCTATGTCATATGATACAGATAAGTATGAGAAAGATCGGAAGAAACATTCATCTCACTGTACTATTTGTCTGCAATAAGTTGGCTAGATGTTGTATTCCTTGCGTCGCAAAATAATTATCTCGGAGATATATCATTGTCAGTGTCTGTATTGAATAATGTAGTTAAACATAAGATATAAAAGTGAGGCACTTGGTTTACTCGATTATTTTGTAGTCCAATAGCAAGTGCATGTACTCCTTCAGCAGTCATAAAGATTCCTTCGAGATACAGTGTTGTTAGTGTCTATAGTAAATGTTAAAAAATAGATCTGAAATAAACAAATAAAAGATTTATCTCACAGTATTGTTTTCCAGTGCTTTAGCTAAATATTGTACTCCTTCATTTCTGATTGGATTACCACACAAATTCAGAGTTGTAAGCGTCTGTATCGAATAAGATATGTCGTTATGAAATAACTAGACGCTTATAGAAGTTCTTACGCTATTATTTTGTAAAGCGTCAGCAAGATGTCGTGCACCTTCGGCATCGATGGTATTGCTCGGCATATATAATGTAGTAAGTGTCTGTATTAAATATGCATATTAAAGATACAAAGTAATGAGAATAAGACTTTTCTAACTCGATTATGTCGTAATCCATTTGCTAAATATTGAATACCTTCATGTCCAATGCCGTTTGCAAAAAGATTCAGGTTAACAAGAGACTGTAATAAATGAGAATAACAAATATAAGATAAGAATGTAAAGAACTGGATTTACGTGATTTTTTTCCAATGCACTGGCCAGATATCTTGCACCTTGACAACCAAGCTCATTCCATCCAAAATGAAGTCCTGCTAATGTCTATATTCATCGGCACAAAGAAAGAAGATAGGAAAATCGACAATTTTTCCTACATTATTCACTGCTAACCCATTAGCTACATATTTCATTCCATTGGGATGAACGGGATTGTAGGTAAAATTCAGTTGTATTAGTGTCTGTATTAAATATTAAAGATGAATATAATAAAAAAAAA